AGACCCATCAACACAGAACGCCTTACACACACACCTGAAGCTCACTTCACTTTCTGGACACTTCTGGACAACATGCATCCCTTTCCTCAAAGTTTTTATAACTCATAAGAGGCAATGACAGGCTATGAGTTCACTGTTCAGCAGATTTAACATAGCCAGGAAAATTTCTTTAGTTCATTAACATGAGTTTGAAAATCTCTACAGCAATGTTCCTATTCTGGAAAGCTTACTTCTCAGACACCATTAATGAACAAAAACCATGAAAAAGGAGAGATCAGAAATAACAAAACTTACAATCTTCATTTAAGGGTATAATGAATGTGTCCCTTCATAAAACAACTTAGACAGGAGTGCTGCTGGGCACGAGGCAAATCCATGACTCCATATCCAGTGCTCTCAGTGAGCCCACATTGTGCAAAAACATCCTTCTCAGTTAATAAATAAACCCGGGTTTACATACTCATAAAACCAGGCACATGCTGCAGGCTTTCTGTAAAGGCATGCCCACTGTCTAGCAGAAAAAAGAACTCTTTTCCTTGTGATGAACCCCCTCCCAACCATCCTATCCCTTAGAGAGAGAGAGAGAGAGAGAGAGAGAGAGAGAGAGAGGTTGTGCTATGAAAGCAAAAGTAAGACTGTCCTCCTGAACACATGTGCACCCCAGTGCACAGGACACTGTTGCAGACCAGGAGTCAGACTCGTCAGCTTTCGGTTAAATGGAGTTTGACTCACCTTTGTTACCTCTACCCAGCTCAGGATTTTTTTTTTTTTTTAAGGTTTCATTTCTCACCTTTGAAATAACCCTCTCATGTCAGACCACATTTTAAACCGAATTAAAAAAATAAATCAGAGAAAAGTAAAACTCTTTGAAAGTCATTTCCCTCTATCTTAGTGCTTGCTTAAGCCTCAGCTGAAAACCCAGCCCAGGGCATTTCAAACAAGATGCATGAATCAAGCTCTTTAGGAGGGATGTTTTGCAAGGCACCAGTGGTTAAAAATGAACACTGACAGGTGTAGAAGGGCAGGGGGAGAAAGAGCCACTTGTTTCCTAGGCTTGAGGGTGCAATATTGGACTCCAATTATGCTACATTAATATTTCTGAATACATCCATGAAATCTGAAATATGTAAATACACTTTAATGGGTGGTAGTCAAAGGTGCCCTGTGTTCGATGGATCTGTTCCTACTGCAGTTGCCCTGTAGAATTCAGCTTTTGCTCCCCAAGTCTTAGCAGCACATCATGAGACCAGAAAAATCTGCTCTTCAGCTTTAAATATATTGAGGACCTCTAGTAACAGAGGGAATGGCGAGCTACCAACTAGCTCTGAACAGTGAACTGTGTGCACCACCTGTTCAAATATGGGATGCTGGATGCATGAAATGAGTTTCTGAAAGTTCTTTGAAAGTTGAAAAGTTTATCAAAGAACAAAACAAATGCATATATTTGGAGGATTATTAGACAGTGTCCAGATCTGTGATAGGAATCAAAATGAGAAAAAGCCTTTGTTTTTTGCCTTTTAGAAATGTAGCTGAATGGATTAAACTAACAGTTTTGAAAAACTACAGAGCAGTGAAATAGAAGCAAAAGGAGCTGAAGAATATACTGAATGAGCCATCTTAACCTGCACAGAGAGCAGGCAAGGCCCTGCGCAGGCTAGGACCTTAACTGGGGCACAGATGAAGTGTCTGACACTGTTTGGGGACGCTCTGTACAGTTGCACATTTTGTGCACCATGCAAAGGCACACTGGCAAGGTGACAGGGGAGGGGCACTGACATCCAGGCCACTCCACCCTCCATGCCACACAGCTCGTTTATGTCAGTTTGTTTAACCCTACCAACCCCAGGAGATGGGCCCTGGCTTCTTTTCCACTGCACATCTGATGGAGTGATGCCCACCCAGCCTTATCCCCAAAGCTACCAATACTGTACTGAGGCTTTTTGCTCCAGAGGACCTCACTTCTCACTTTTTTAGCTTATTACATGTTGGAAATTTCAGAAGGGTTCTGACTAGACACTAAAAATAAGCCCCATGGCTCATGAAGTTTCCAACAAGTCAAGCAGCCAAGGGTGGTGGACAGGATAGGCTGGACCAAGAGGTAGCTCCTGGGAAGACCCAGGTGTGGCATACACTGGTTGGGAAGCACGGGGCCAGCCTCTTATTTTCTTTGGGCCTCAGTTTCTTTGTGCTCCTAACGATATCTTAGGACACCGTTACTTAAAATTTGATCTTGTGTCTCTGAATGGAGGACCTATTTTGCAGAAACACATCCTAAAGAGAAGTCATTGTATAAACACCATGGAGTAAGTCTATACAAACCTAGACAGCACAGCCTGTGACATACCTTGGCTAGATGGTTTATAGCCCATGTATCAAAATGCTATTTTTTCTTTCCCAAATTAAAATTGTACCTATTTTTTTGCAGGATTTGTTTTCTTCCATGAGTTTTTTCTGTCCATTAAATTATCCTAAAAAGTCACCAGCTGCATATCTAAAGTTCTAAAGGTCTTTCTGACCTTAAGAGAAATGCACTCCCAGGTAGCACTGTGTGCTAAAAGACCTTGATACTTTGTCTCAGACATCATCAAGTTCATCATTTCAAGTTCTACCTGGTAAAAACCCAGAAGACATCCATCTGTCCTAGCATAAACACTTAACTTTTGGTCCACCTTTAAAGATCCTTCAAGGACTCATTTCTGTTCACAGGAGCTGTTTCTACAAATGGCAATTTATGATCATTCGCTGGAAATGCACGACCAAAGCCCCTTGAGATCTGCTCCTGCTGGGGCCCTGATGAAGGATTCTGGGAAATGGCAGCATTCCTATTGTGCTGAAGAGATCATTTCTTTACCCCAGGTGCTCTACCAATAACTGTACTGGAGTCATCCTGGAACCCAAAGGTGTATGGATGAGGGCACCTCCCCCACCTCCTGTGGGTGGGAGGTGAACTGTTTTCACATTTGAGAGACACTGAAACATCTCTTTGATCCCAAAGGGCATATACAGTGTTCAGAGTAGCTGAGAAGGGCCATACAAAGTGAAAATGGCTCAGCTAGGGTTTACAAAGTACTTGGATTTAATTCTTTTTCTTTTTTGGAAGAGGTAGCACAAAGACTGGGACAATCCAGTATGCTCAAAGCTTTGTCGTTCTTCAGCAGAGCTGACGGAACTAATCCGCCTTTGAAATCAGCACACCGATTGCTCAATGGAGGAGTGTATGGTCCTTTCCTCTGTCAAGCAACAGCATGAAAATGGGTTGCAATGATACAGTTTTACTTTTATAAGTCAGCCTTATGAAAGACAATCAGTTTATATCAAACTCCAGTAGTGACTCCACCTCAGAACCCCTAGTGACCAATTCATTTTCTCTCTGGCTTTGAGCTTCCATGCACATCTTCCCTGATGAGGCCAGGGAGTGTCACCCATAAAACTGGGACCCTCCCCCTCCCCCCCTTCCCCACACCATTCATGGCAAATAGGGCTCAGCTGTACCTCTTCTCCCACACAAAGTTCAATACTGCTCAGGAAGTGAATGATCACAGCTCAGTCCTTTGGCTCAGGGCCTGCCTATTCTTACTGCTTTTTCCTTCTCAGCCCATGTAGTAAGGGTGGACAGTCATGATGGTTCATAGTCCAGCCAGGCCCCACTCTCATTCCTTCCCATTAAGGCCAAGGGTAGCTCCTGAACTTCAACACAAATCCATTATCCAAACAATCAAATACCATATGGGATGAAACCTCTGTGCTGCACCTGTAGACAGTCTCCTCTGATGCCCCTGGCCTACAATTCTGGGCGTCCCTTTTTTAACACTCTGCTTGCTGTGATTTGGAATCTTTGGAACACACCATGTCTGCCTCACCTATTACATCTCATTCACTCTGGGGATCAGATTTAGGATCTGTTCACAGAAGTTCTTTTCAGATCCTGCATCTTGGGAGCTTATCCATCCCATCCCTGTCCTTGTCCCTTCAGGTGAGCTTTGAGCCAAAGTCATTGTCTCAATGAATAACACTTGGCCTTGCAATGGCTGACAGAAAAGCCCAGCACAATGTTCCACTGTATGACACTGGTCACCAGGGCCCAGTGGGTACTTGCAGAGACAGCCATGCTAATCTGCATGAGTTACTCATCACAGATAATGCATAGTGGTTCATTAAATTCTAGACATAAATGAAGACTATAAGCATTTATAGACTCTATTGGTCCTGTAACTGACTTCATCTACTAAATCTTGATCAGTAATACAAGTGACCAGCCTCTGTTAGCTAACAGCTTCTGGAGCACAAGTTGTTTAGACCCTCTATAGTTGAAGAAAGAAATGCATCATTTTAAATTAAATCTGCTGTTCTAGGCGAGTATTTCCTGCTTTGCTAAATGGCTAGCTGAAGGCCTGCCTGCTTTCAAAGTAGTGCTGGGCCTCCTCTGACTTCTGCAGTGCACGCTCCTTTCATACTGCCTGTGTTACTGAAAACGTTTATTTTGACAGACATTCTCAGCACACTCACTTCCAAAATACACATTCCAAAATACTTTAAATTAGACAGTGATTATAAATCCCCTACTTTATAAGTATTAGAAAAACAAAAATGTCAACAGCTAAAATGAATTCCATAAATTTATTCAGCAGCTAGAGGCCTAAGAGGTGGCGGGTCCAGGGAGCTCTCCCAATTCTCATCTCAAAGAGCAGTGGAGGCAGAATTGAGAGGTCAAGACCAAGCTTTGCTACATAGGGAGTTTGAGGCCAGCCTGGACTTCACAGTGAGACTGTCTCTCAACCTAATAAATGAAATAAAAAGCAAAACTAAAACCAAGATAGCTTAAAATCTGCAAATGCTGACATTTGAATATTTATCATACATACCACCATTATATTTTCATGAACCATAAAGTAATTACTATGGACTGTAATTCTTCAAGAAACCTGCACTCCTTAGGAGACCCAAAGGTACCAAATGGCTCACACAGCTGAACGATGAATGACAAAGTTGCAAAGTCTTACCTGGTGCTGGCTGTCGTTCATTCCATTCAGTTGAGATTAAAACTTCTATTACTTTTATGAAGTGTTCAGTATTATCAGAGCTGCAAGAGAGAGGGTTTTGTGAGAACTCTTATCCCTAAAAACAAGCTCGTTTTCATTCATCCAAATCTCACTGATGTGTGTGATTAAGTCCACATGAAACAGGCATCTGTGCTCCAGGATCTTTAGAATACACTTAAGGACCCATCCATTTTGGCCACCCTCATCTCCCCTGACACCTCCAAAACCATCCCTTTCATCCTTACCTGGTTGCTGGGAATCTGAAAAGCATAGGGCTGAAAATTTCAGAGAGGACCCTTGGGTTCAAAAGATTTTTGCTGGAAGCTTGAGACAGCTTGAAGAAATGTTTTAGCAAATACTGAAGTGTAAGCCAATACTGATGAGGTATATTAGGTGACCTAATGAGCTTCTTTAACACCTGGATGAAGTCTTCAGAGCTTTGTACTTCTACAAGTTCAGAAAGACAGGAAACAGAGTAAGGCTATGTCTAGGTGCCACTGAGACAGCACCTGGCCATTTTTAACTTCTCCCTTAGCTATAGAAGGCAGCATGTACAAAAATCTTCAGGAGAGGTGCATAAGATGTTTGTCCTTCTCATTATAAAATGCATTATGAGAAAGTAAAGATCTCAGGTCAAATGGAAATGCAAGAAACTCTTCTTGTCAAAAACCACAAAATGTTCAGGGTGTGCTCCCAGAAACCAGTCCTCAATCAAGCATCCTCAAGCATGATTGGCTACTTCCTCCAAGCATCAGATAAGTATCGCAGGTTAAACTTTGAAGGTCATGAACCACAATTTCCTGCCCCCAGAACACTGAACAGAGCCTCTGCTTCTGATGCCAAGCCTCCTCCCTCAATACATCTTCTTCTAGGTGTTCAGGGAAGGTGACTAGAACATCCCTAGTCATACATGCTGGTCTTCAGTCTCTGAATCTGACACTAGTACTTAGACAACCATGACCTTCATAGGTACAGTGATACTGATCAAACGTTAACAATGAACCAGTTTAGCACATGGGCAGGTTTCTAAGCAAACGAGAATCTGGGTGTGGCAAAGAAGGGAATTTGGGGTGGTGGGGAGGTGGTAGGGAGCAACTTACTCTTTTCTCAATACCTTTTATTTATACATAGCACTTCACAGAGCTAAAAGCATATCTGCATCTCAGTGTATGTGCAGTGAAGTCCTAGAGGAGAAAACCAACCTTGGGCTAAAGACATCATTTCACTGTAAACAGCTACTGGAATGACAGGATTTGGTAAGTCCAGAAGATAGCGCTTGAAAGCATCTGCTAAAACTTGCACATCAATCATTTCCAAGTCCACGGAGGCAGCATCTAGGAAAGAAATATTTCAGGCATTTATACTCAGTTGCACCAATTTTTCCAAATGTGGTACTTAAATGTGAGAGAGGAAAGGGGGCAATGTGAGGGGAACAGAAGACATGCATATTGGTTGGAAGTGTTTCTCATGGGGCTTGCTCTTAAATTTTGGATAGAACAGCTTTTCTTTGTGTGGTTCTGCCCCACATATTGGAAGCATTCAGCATGCCTAGTCATTGACCATGATTAGAACAAGGCTGTTAGAGTGGACCTTAAATCCAATCTAGCATCTTTATAAGTCACTGGGGATACAAAAACAGGCGAGAGCATGGGAAGACAATGGAAGGCAGCCATTGGAGAGCTAGGGAAAGAGGCCTGGAAGATCGCAAAAGGCCTCCACTTGGACTTCCAGCCTCAAGGACTATGAAAAATGGATTTTTATCCAGTTTGCTGGGGGTGGTTTTGCTCTGATGAAGAAGTGTCTCACTGAGAGATGTCTAGCCATATGGCCAATGTTTTCTAACACCACAACGGAGAGATAAAAAAACAAAACTCCAAGATTTTCTCAAATTTGAATGATAAATGCTACATCTCAGGTTTCCTGGAAATTTAAAGTAATAGATTAAATATCAAGATACTAAAGAATTGGGGCTGGAGAGATGGCTCAGTGGTTAAGAGCACTGACTGCTCTTGCAGAGGACCCAGGTTTGATTTCCAGCACCCACATGGCACCTAACAACCATCTATAACTCCAGTTGCAAGGGACCCAATGCCCTCTTCTGACCTCCATGGGCACGGCAAGACACGGGTGCACTCACACTCCTGCAGGCAATACACATAAAATAAAAATAATAATTTAAAAAAATTTTAAGGATACTAAAGAATTTTAGCAATCAGTCTCCAGATTACCCAAAGAATAATTTGAAGTTTTGGAATGCTCCCTTTGAGGCCATCTCCAGTAGATCCCTCAGCTGGAAAGAAGGTCAAGTGATTCAATAAAGGGCTAACCCTAAACCAAAGCACCCTCTGCACACTCAGGATATAAGGAGCTCGACGTCATTGGGATGGGAACAGAAATGCTGCCCAATAGGAAGCAGGGATGCCAGGGGCAGGAATGATGGTAGACATTCAGAAAGAAGTGGCACTGGCTACTGCTGGAGACATGAGGGACTGTGAGGAGGAACCTGGTGCTCAGGGGTAAGAAGGTGGGCTGTGGTTGCACTTTACATTGTCTTCAATTGTAGTGTCGAGGGTTCTGCTGGGAGGAAGATGGTACTAGGTTTGGTGATCTGAGGTGGGGTGATAAGGAATGAGTTCTAAAGAAGTGAGAAGTGGGCAAGATATTATAGAGAAATAAAGCAGGTCAGTGCGTGGCTGGATTGGGCAGTGGTTCAACAGAATGAGAAAGTGGTAAAATCACTCTAAGGTGTCTTAGCACGAAAGGATGGTACCCAGGACATCCCTGAACTAAAGACAGCATCGTAAAGCAGGACTTCTTAAACTTCCCCTTTATGAGCCATTTACACCTAAGAAATATTTTTTTATATGACCTTGGGTATATAGGTATATAAAATATATATACAAATCAAACATTTAGTAATAATAAATTATAAGAAGTTTTGTATGTTTGGGTTTTGTTTTTGAGTTGGGGGGGAATGGAGTCCTGGCTGGCCTGGAACTCACATCAGAGTTGGTGACAGAGTTATCATCATTGGTTCTGTTTATTATTTTTTATGATATAGCTTCTAAAGTGCCTTGGGGCTTCTGACTTGTGCTCAACAAGATTTCTCTTGTGTATTAATACCATCCTAACAGCTCCTCCATTAGCTAACCACAGCTGTCTTGTGGTGACTTTGAAGAGCTGTACAGTCTTTAGTGAGAGGAGGTAGCAGTCTCTTCCATTTCACTTTTTACCACTCTACTGATAGGTAATCAGTTCTTTCAACACTTCACTCTCCAACCTCCTGGGAAGCCCCCTTCCCCCAGCCAGTTGATCTCTATCTGGTTTAGTGGCTCCCAGGGTCATGGGGAGTAGAGTAGATGGTATCTGGCAATGTTTGGAGGCACTGTTGTTATGCCTGGGGAGGATGCTACTGGCACCTGGTGGGTTGAGGCCAGGGATGTGGCTAAACATGCCACAGTGAACATGACAGTACTCTGTTCTTCCAATGAAGAATTAGTCACTGGAACACATCAATAGTGCCCAGACTGAGAAAGCCTGATTGAGGTTAAGAGGAAACCAAAAGGTGCCAGGAGAAATTCAGACCACTAAAATTCAGACAAAAAAAGCAAAGAAAATTTTGTTTTAGGGTAAAATGAAGGTGTGTGAGGAGGACAAGGGCTTTTGCAGTCAGAATAATCTGGATACAAATCACAGCCACTGAAAAAAGGGAGAAAATTTGCTTAATCTGACCTTCCTTTTCTGGGGACTTAAGAGTAACTAATACTTTAATATTAAGTCAATGTAAAACAGTGTAAAAGAACTTAGTAGGTGTTAAGAAAAGCCAGTTGTTGCCCCCACCTCTGTCCCTGCAGACACTGCAAATTCACAAGGTTAAAGTGATGACATGGTTTTCAGGTGTAACTGACCCATACTGACGTTTTCTCTGGGATGTTATAATAGCTTGATGTACTGAAAATTCAATAGGCTGGAAACAGGTTTTGCAGATTCACTCCTAAGTTTGGACAATATTCATTCTTTTTTGGCTATAAAAATTCACTTTTAGCTGCTCTTTTCACAATAGCTAAGAGATGGAAGCAATCTAAGTACCTGTCAACTGACGAGTAGTTAAGGAAATATGGTACATTTATATGGTGGAGTTCTACTCAGCATTAAAGAAAGCTGAAATAACGAAATCTGCAGGTAAATGGATGGATCTAGAAACTGTTATACTAAGTGAAGTAACACAGACTCAGAAAAACAAATGACGTATGTTCTCCCTCGTTTGTAGATCTTACCACCAAATCCCTGTAATAGAGGGAATCCCACAGTCCATGGAAAACAGGTGATGCAGAGACCTGAAAGTTCAAAGCAGTGCCTTGCCACAAAGGGAGGAAGATCACCCCACACCTATCACCCCCTCCAAGGCTCAGGGACTTTTGCAAAAGAGTTTGGTGGAAAGAATGTAAGAGCCAGAGGAAGAGGTGGAATGTTAACCAGAAGTGTCCTCCCACTACTATGCTGGCAAGCTATAGTCACACCTCCCTCCCAAGGAGTCCATGGGAGAGTCAGTTACCGCCCCCCCACTCAATCAGGTGACCTTAGCTGCATGTGAGGGAGGGGCTAAGGATATATAGGCCCAGAACACCATGAGGCACCTCTCTCGCCATTTTGTGAGGCTGTTGGGTCACAGGTTCTATATTTAAGTGTGGACTTTCCAGTGCCGCCATAAATGGGGGGGGGGGTGCTCACTCTTGTGTAAATAAACCGCCACCTATGCTGTTAGAAGCCTAATAAACTCATTAGGATTAAAAAAAAAGAACAGAGCTAATGGAAACCTTCATTATTCCACCAAAGTTGACCCCATTTGACCCCATGTTGGCAAATCCTTTGGTCTTTGATTTCTTATTCCTATTTTTCCCCACTTAAACGTCATTGTGTATATATTTTTATGTAACCTCCTTCAAGTTATTTCTGGAAAAATGTGTTAAAAATTGCCTTTCTTTGTAATAATTTTTTAAAAAGTAAAATAATA